AGGAAGAGGGTTGTATGAAACGGGGCAGAGGAAAAGAGAAGGACAGGGAAGGGACAGCCACTGACTTCATCTTGCAGGGACACTGCAGAGCACACACCTCAGGGAATCCCACGTGACAGTGAGGTACCCCAACTTTCCCGGGATCTCCAACCTTCTGTTGGTCGGGGGGCAGAAATCAGGTACAGATTACCAAGTCACCGGCATTTCCTAAAAGCTCTGACAGTATCTGCTCTCCTCTGCTGTCTACTAGGGAGGCTACATGACCTTGGGCAAGTTACTCCCCTGTCTGAGCCTTGATGCCCTCATCTGTAAAATGTGGGTTGCAGTCCTGGCTGGAGGGGCGGGGTGGGGGTCAGGCATGGGAAGCACTTAGCACAGGGTGCGTGGACAGGGAAAGGCGTGGCAGGCCGTCAGCTGCCCGGCCGAGATTTAATCCTAGCTCTTTTCTATTCTGAGCAAGGCCCGTGCTCTCCTTTACCGCCGCTTGCTTCCTGGTCCTGACGTTTGTTTTCCTAACAGATGCCCTAGATTCCATCCTACGGGGTCTCCCACAGTGAGGCTTATGAATCAATGCATTCTAAGCTGCCAGGAGCATCCACAGCTCAGATGACTCTGGTCCCCTGTCCCCACCCTGACCTGGCTTACTTTATCCAGGACTCCTCTCCCTAGGGGCAAATGCTGGACTTGAGCTGGGGCTTCCCGCCTGCCCTTCAAGGACTCCAGTGTCCCCTTGCCTTCTCGCACCCCAGCCCCACCATGAGGGCTGGGTATGAAGCGGACTTGCTACTCAGAGATGCCCGCCCCACTTTTCCCATCTCTGGGGTGGGTCTACAGGAGAATGCTGGGCGCAGGGCCCTTCCTCCACCCACAGGTCTGTATCTGTGGCAGCAAGAGCCCGCATTCAGGCCACTCACGGGTCGGGTATCTCTCATGGCGGCAGTCCAAGCGGAAGTCCTCCTCCTCACTCCCATCCCCCTTCTCGATCCTGGAAAAAAAAAAAAAGGTCTGTGTAAGACAGAGCAGGCTGGGGGCCAGCCAGTGGCATGGCGATTGAGGCAATAGGATCCCACATGGCTAACTATGTAGTTCAAGTCCCAGACCCAGTGGCTTGAAAATCACCAGGTGTGTGTGTGTGTGTGTGTGTGTCCATCCTGAGAGGAGGATGGAGGAGAAAGGATTGTGGCGTGGCCATCCCCCCCATCCCGAGGGGGTGATTTCTCACCTTCTCTCTCTCTCTGTCTCTCTCCAGTGAGCACATGAGCCCTGTAGCAAGTTATTAATTAATACATAAATAAGCAAGTGAGCGAGCAGAACTAGCCGAGGAAAAGTGTGGTCCCTCTCCTTTGGAGGGCGTTTTGCACAGTAACTTTCCATCTGCTGCCCTGTGGGACCGTACCGCAACCCTGTGAGACAGGCGTCACTATTTCTACTTCACTGAAGAAGCTGAGGCCTTGGAGGTGATAACCACCAACCCAGGGCCTCACAGCTAATAAGAGACAGAAGAGAGAACCAACCCGATGTTCTCACAGAAGGATGTTCGATTGTGTGCAAATGGAATATTACGAAAGGTGTGCATCGTTTGTTTCCAAAACTACACACGCGTGAGAGGTCTTCAAAAAGTTCAAGGAAAACATTTATTAGAGAATAATTATGCATGCATTTCCTTTTTTTTTGTGTACCAGAATAAATTTGTACTTTAACTCCATTTTTTCCACAGGCTTTTTTAAAGTCTTCTCGTAGTCTCTCTCTCTCTCTCTCACACACACACACACACACACACACACACACACACACACTGGCAGAATATATACAAAAAGGTAAATTCGAGCTTTGTCTGTATCTGTTTTTTGAGTTTTTAGTTTCTACCTACTCTTTGAACAGAATCCTTCCCTGGCTTTAAGTCTTAAGCAAATTTTGCTTACCACATTTTGATTTTGATTTATTAAAGCTAAAACTGCTTTTCTTGAAATTAAAAAAATGTAAATACATAAAAACAAACAAAAATAAATAAAAAATACCCGTTTAATGACTGCAGTGAGCTACACAGCCTCTGCTAGGTGCTGCTTTATACTGTTCATTCCGCTCACTGAGTTTATGCCTGAAGTCAGACATGTGTTCATAGATATGTTTATATCAACTGTACTTATTGAAAGTATTTAGTTTAATTAGATCTTTCGTGAATCAATAAAATGTGAAATAAAAAAAATATATGCCGAAAGACTAATAGTAATTATCGCTACATAACAAGAACACAGGGGATTAAATCTAGAACCTTCTATTTGCTTAACTCTCTTTTCTGGTTTGAGGGCAAGGGACTGTCACTAGCTGTGTGACATTTCTTAATAAATTAAAAACCTGTCCTAAAGACAGTTTTATAGAAAAACAAAGCCCAAGTCTCCCAACTTGTAGCACAGTGCCCTTTCCCACCAAGACTTGCGAGTTTCTCTTCTGTGGGTTCCTTCTTCTCTGGCATCTAGAATTTCCAGTCCTTGGGGGACAGCCTCTGTGGGTGGTAGTGGGTAGAGCAGAGAGCAGAGGCTAAAAGAACCTGCAGAGGGGAGGCAGCTCTCTGACCTGCCTCCAAACCTGGACCACCCCCACCCACCGTTGGCTGTGTAGAGAGCAGGTCGGCCATATTCCCTCATGGCACTCCTTCACTGTAACTCAAGTAAGTTCAGAGCTCCATATGGTCCAGTGCAATTGTACATCAGGTTTACAGAAACACGATCCAGTCCCATGACGTAGAAACAATTCTAACCAGGCCAGTTCTGTGGCTGATGGTTAAGAAAACCAGAGCTCACACGACCGACCATGGAGTTCAAATCCCAGAGCTGGCAGCTTGAAACACACACTGGGCACCTGTACATGCATGCCCCAATCCCACAAGGATGGAGAAATGGAGGAGAAGGGATTGCAATCTGACCACAGTCATTGAGGAGTGCTTTCTCCCTCTCCCTTTCTCTCTGTCTCTCTCTCTGGGGAGTGCATATACCCACTGCCAAATCAAAAACAATTCCCATCATTATTACATCTCCTAAAGAACACCGAAGATCCTCCAGTTTAGTATCTGCGACCCACAGCTCGTATCTTTCCTCATTCCTCTCTGCCTTTTAGCTGCCTCACAGCCATCCCACCCTCCCTCACCTCATGCCTCATTTTCCGTGCTTTCCCAAACTCTCCCACCCACCCTTTCTTGCCACTGCTGTCTCTTTTCTGCAAATGCAAGGAAGTCTCCATCTTTCCTGAAGCAAACTCCCCATTTCTGTCTCTGATCTTCCCACCACCTCCCCTTTCTGGTTGCTGAGCCAGAAGCCTGAGGCTGGCTGGAGGTGGAGACGTGGGAAGGGGGTGAGTGACAAGCAAGCAATGCCAAAGTGTCCTTAGTAGAAAGTAAGGAAATGCTCAGACATTGATCATTTTGGTCCCCCTGGGGTCATTCAGTCATCTGTTCATTCTCCCATGCACCAGAAACTTCTGGGTTCGTACGGATGCTGTGCAGATGACAGACATGTCTATGTCATAGTCTCTGCCTTCAGAGAGCTTCCTGTCTTACAGCAAAGACACGCTTGCACACATGACAGATGTCAAATAACACCACATAAGGACCGTCTACACTGCCCATGCCCAGTGGTCAGACTTGTGCTGCCCAGGGAACAAATGCTGAACTCAGTTCCTGTTTACAAATATCTCCTGGGTGGCTCCAGATGACAAAGCAAAGGCCCATGAGTCGATGTTATAGAAGCCAACTGTGGTTCAATACAGGGGAAGGTGTCTTTTTTTTTTTTTTCTCCTTTTAATACAAACATCTTGGTTGTTTTCCTGTAACACAAGCGTGCTCAAAAAATAAAAATAAAAAATTACTGTACCACAGAGAGAGCAAGGCCCCTCTATACTCATACCTCAATATAGTGAGATGCCCTTGGGTCCAGTGGATGGTGTAGCAGTTACATCACTGGACTCCCACATGGCCGACTGTGGGCTGAGTCCCGGACCAGGTGGCTTGAAAATCAGGTTGGGCACGTGTGCGTGTGTGCCCAAGATCATAAGAGGAGAATGGAGGAGAAGGAAGAGAAGGAATTGCAGTGTGGCCATCCTTCCTGGGGGGTGATTTCTCACGTTCCCTCTCACTGCCTCTTACTCTTTGGCAAGTGCATGAGCACGAACCAAAGACCTCTTAAAAAAGACCTCAAAAGAAATGTGTGTGTGTGTGTGTGTGTGTGTGTGTGTGTGTAGTGGAACTCCCACTCAATAATTTGGTATCCCTCTTTTCAAAATTAACACACTTTTTTTTTTTACATAAGTAGCCACAAATTAAATGTGCTATTTGGTAACCTCATTTTTTTATTTACCCAGAAGTTTCCAGTATCTTCCCATAGTAGTTACCTACATCTCTTTTTATTTTTCCTCATAGCTGCACATGAAAGAATAATTAATATTCAATATCCTTGTGGTTAAAGTTTCTTCACTTCTCTTAAGCACGTGGGAGACAGGGGTGGCAAAGACATGCATTGCCTCACGCCGAGATCTTCCCTGGTTCCCCAGCCAGCCAGGTCATGGAGGTGTGCACCTGATGAGTACAGGTCGACTGGGGAATGACCCAGCAGTCTTTCTTACCGATCCAGCTTCACTTGAGCTGCACACTACCCCTGAGCCAGCCCTCAATACCTTATTGATAAATGTGAGGGTGTTTGAACTTTTTACTCTTCCAAATAATGCTGCACGTGTATCTAGCCAGGTGGCGAGTTCCCCATCACCAACGGTACTCAAGACAGAAGTATTGCCAGTCATAAAGATGGAGGTCAGACCAGGTGACTGAACCCCATCCTTACGCCCGAGAGCCACCTACCTGGCCACATCTGGTGCCTCTGGGTTGAGGACAGTGCTGCCATGTAGCAGGCTCCCCACACTCTCCTGCGCTTCTCAGCCTTCACCCACTCCCTTATCCCCCCAGGCACCCACCTCTCCTGGCTTCTTGTCTTGAGATTCAGCTCCCTCCAGGTCTCATGCTGGGTACCTCCTTGGGCTCTGCTGGGAGCGTGAGTCCTGGAAAGTGGGGCCCAGTGAGCAGAGGGGCTGATGTCTATGGAGAGAACCTATTCACCATAGAATTCCCTTCCCTCCCTGGTTACCCAAACTGTGCTGCCAACACGTCAAATAACACCTATCGGCAAGCATCTGCGTGGGCCAGGGTTTGTGCTGGGCTTGGGGTCACCGAAGTGACCCAGCGAGGCCCTGCCTTGAGAAGCTCATGCCCGTTTTACATCGACACAGCCATCATAAATTCACGTGCTTTAAGTGTCAACTAGAACGCCGTTAAAGAGGTTGGCACGGACGATAACTGTCTAGTCCCGGAGTGGTGAACTTTTCCCGTAAAGGGCCAGATAGCAAACATCTGAGGCTCTGCACACCAGATGCTGTCTGTCAAAAGTACTTAGCTCTGTCCTTAGGAAAGCCCTGCAGACAACATGTAAACAAATGGGCACGACTGCTTGTAGACATTTACTTACAAAAGAAGGTGGTGGGCTTGAAGGAGGCAATGCATTACCTCATCCTCAAGCCAGTGATTCTCACCTTGGTTGCTCACTGAAGTCTCCTGGGTGGGGGAGGGAGTTGTAGCACAGTAGCCAGGGTGGAGACCCCCTGGGGAGGTGGCAGAAGTTTCTCCAGCAGGTGGCATGTGGGGTGCATGCCAGAGGTCATGGGACAACTTTTCCATGGCTGTGTCGCCATTCTAGAAAGAGCTGGTTTCTTTGCACAAACTCAGTCCTCTCCCTCCACCAGATTCATCAATGAAAACACCAGATTTGCAGTGTCCAGGATCTGTAGGCTGCTATCTGGGGCCTGGCTAAGGTTTGGCAATGGTTCTGGGCAAGGGCTGATGACCCTTCCACAGCCTCCTTGGGGCTGAGTGCTCCAACAGTGCAGCTTCTTCCTGTCAGCAGACGTGCAGAGGACAAGGGGAGACTTCGGGTGCAGTGAGACCCTGGGCCCTGAGTGGGGAAGACGAGGCTGAGCTCAGCGCTGCTCTGAACAGGTAGCAGGGCCTCGGGCAGCTTGTCTGGCTGCTCCAACTCCGCTTTCCTCTGTGTGTAATGAGCTAACAGTGTGGTCCTGATGACAGGAAGACCACCAGCACTGCCTCCCTGGCAGCCATAAGGACTATAGCCCCGTACATGGCACAGACTAAGGGCGCAGAACTTCTTTTTTTTTTTGGAGAGATTTTTGCTATAGGGCACATACGCTCGCCAGAAAGACAGAGAGAGACAGAGAGACAGAAGGTGAGAAATCACCCCCCCCCCAGGCTACCCTGCAGTCCCTTCTCCTCCATTCTCTCAGAATTTGGGGCATGCACACATATGCACCCAGCATGTATTTCTCACTTTCTGTCTCTCTGTCTCTTTGGTGAGTGTACACACCCTATAGCAAAAATATCTCTTAAAAAAATAAATAAATAAGGGAAGAAGGGGGAAGGAGGAAAAACAGTTAACCAAAAAGCAGTTTGCACGAGCAGGTAGCCAAGGGCCATCAGGGATGCTAAGGTCCTGTGTTGGAAAAGGGACTGCCAATGTCACAGGTGACAATTCCCTTTAATTTGAACTGTAATTTCACCCCCTCCCCCAATGGTGGTATAAGAAATTACCCACAAATCTAAATAAGTGTCTGGAAGGCTGATGGGGATGCTTGTGTGAAACAGTGCTCAGAGCTGGCCACAGCTACCAGTGCCCTGGAGGGGTGTCACATCCTTCTCCGGCTCTCAGAGGCACTCGAATGGTGGGTTCACCACCTACCAGTCCCTCGCCCTCCCCAAGCCTTAATGTTCTCATCTGAAAAGTGGGCCAGTAAGGTACCTTCCTCTCGGGCCTGTAGTGGGGCTAAATGAACAGACGCAGAGCTCGACCCACTTAGAGCGCTTGCAACACCGGGGCACTGACTGCCATCATCATCACTATTGTCATTAAGACGGTCATCGTCATCCCCACCCTGGGGCCTTTATGGTTCTGTCGCTCTGTGACTCCACGTCTGACCACCTCACGGTCCCAGATGTGACAGAGTGCAGGGAACCCTCCCACCCACACCGCTTTCTCCCAGTCCGTCACTTACAGCCATCACTACCGTTGCCTCAGGAAAGGGGTATTTTGAAAGAAGCAGAGAGAAGACTTTGAAGTACCAGAAAACCTCTGGGCCCAGAGCAGACAGAAGCCACAGGTGGCCACAGCATATTCTGCCCCAGAAGACAGAATCTCCCGGTACTGGGCATAAGGACTGTCAGAGCAAAAGCTAAGGGTGAGTTGATAGTGAAGGAGCCCCAGGGGAAGGTGACAAGAACAGAGGGACCTGCTTAGACATTGCTGGCATTGTCCCCATTTTGCAGAGGTGAACACTGAGCCCAAAGTTGAGGGTGTGTTGGATTCCCAGTAGCAAAGACAGCCTCGATGTGGGGTGTCCATGGCTGAATGCGAGGGCTGGTGGGCAGCGTCAGCCGTGGAGGCAGACGGGGAGGACGGAGCCGTGATTGAGGGCCTCGGGGAGGTTAGATAGCTAGGAAACAGTTGCAAAGGACAAAGAACACATTGATTTTTAAACGATCAATTTACAAAGGAATGAAGAATGGAATTAAAAGGAATTTTGGCAAATAAATGACTGCAGGTAGTAAATTAAGATTCTATACATCACATCAAGAGGGCTATTCCAAGATAGGGGAAAATAAATGAGTTTTTAAAAAGATCCTGCTTTTTTTTTCACTTTCCATTTTTCCAGTGGTATAATCATGATATAAAATACATAGAATCATGACACATCAGGAAAATAACAGAGAAGATAAAGCTATCATAACCTGATCTCTCTCTCTCTCTCTTTTTAAAAAGAGATTTTTGCTATGGCATGTGCACTTGCCAGAGAGAGAGAGATGGTGAGAGAGAAATTGAGAAATCATCCCCCAGGAGGGATGGCCACACTGAAATCCCTTCTCCTCCATTCTCCTCCTGGGATCGTGGACATGCACGCACATGCGCCTAGTGTGAATTTCAAGCTGCCAAGTCTGGGACTCAAACCACAGTTGGCCACATGGGAGTTCAATGATGTAACCACTATGCCATCTGCTGGCTCCAATCTTTTCTTCTAAAAGTATATTTGTTTATTTCATGACAGTGAGAGAGGCACCCCCAATAGGGTCCTGATGCCCCAATTGACTTCCAACCTCAGCCAGCTTGCCTCCCACCCTCAGCCAGCCCCAGATCACAGGCACCCAGGTGTGGGGAGCCAAGAAGGAGACATGAGGAATGTGCAGGACGTGACCGCTAGATGGAGGCCAAGGTTATCATCTGGACCTAACCTTGGGTGTCTGAACTGTTATGTGCAGAATGTTCCAAGTATTGTTACAACCTGATAAACTCAGCAAGGACTTTTGAGTCCCACGTTAAGGAGACCTTAAGTTTCTATCCCCACCAAGCAAACCAATTCCCAGAAACCACATGACCAACAGTCCCTCCCGTTGCCTAGAAACCTATCTGCATAAGCAGACATGCCTATTACTGAGCTCATATAAGCTTGTCATACTTCCTCAATAAACAAGACTTGATCAGCACCTTGTCTTGTCTCCACTCTGTGTGTTTGTCCTTTCTCTCACTCCCTCCCTCAGGTGACTGTTCGACTGTCCTGAGGGTCGGGACACGTGGCACCCGAACAGAGACCTGAATATGAGGATCCAGTGAAGAGCACCAGAATAAAGAAAAAAGAGAGAAAAGGCCGGCAGAAAACAGAAGAGGATGAAAAAGAAGTGTCCCGGTAAGTAACAAGGGTGATTATGGGACAAGAAATTAGTCAGCATGAGTTATTTGTTCATGGGCTTAAAGAAGCCCTCAAGACACGTGGAGTTAACATTAAGATTAAACAATTACTTTCCTTTTTTGATTTCCTGAAAGAGGTGTGCCCTTGGTTTCCCCAAGAAGGTACTATTGATGAAAAAAGGTGGAAGAGGGTAGGTGACGCTTTAAAAGATTACTATGTCACATTTGGACTGGAAAAGGTCCCAGTAACAACCTTCTCTTATTGGAATCTAATAGATGAAATCATTAGGTTCCGGCTAACTGACCCTAAAATTGCGGCAGTCATTGCAGAGGGAGAACAAATTATGCAAAGAGATGAAACTCAGGCAGATAGTGGAAATGCCAGAGAAACTAAAAAAGACCCTGACGCCAAAAAAGAGGGAGATTTAATTTCCTTAGATAGTGAGGAAGAAGTAACAGATCTTAATAAACAATCAGATGTCAAACCAAAACAAATTAAAAAACTGAGAGTCAAAGGTGAAGTTACAAACTTCAAAAAGCCCCAGAAAAAATTATACCCATCTCTTACAGAACTTAAAGTTCATTTAGATGACCAATTGACTGATTCTGAAGAAGAAACTCTAGAAACAGAGGCCGCCAAATACAATAATCCAAAATGGCCGCCTTTCAAAAAACGACCGCCATCTTATAAGTTGGTCACATCCGCACCACCTTTGGTGATGCCAGTTATCGATCCTAGGGAAGAGGTTCTGAATAAGGTCAAACAACTTAAGGAACAAATTCAGTTAGAAAAGGAACATCAGGAACTAATATCACAATTAGAAAAACTGAGAGTGGGTAAATCTAAAAGTGGAGATTCCTCGCAGAATCGCTACCAGCCCACATTTATCCCTGGCATGAAAATTAAACCAGTTCAAACACCAGTAACAGAAGCCATAGATCCACAAGGACAAGCATGGTGCCATCATAGTGGCTTTGACTTTAAAATCATAGAAGAAATTAAAACAGCAGTTGCTGAATATGGAGCTACAGCCCCATATACTTTAGCCATAGTTGAATCAGTGGCAGACAATTGGCTTACACCATCGGACTGGCGAACACTGGCCCGTGCTACGCTCTCTGGATGGGATTACTTACTTTGGAAATTAGAATATGTGGAGGCTTGCAGGGAGACCGCAGGCCTTAATGCCCAGGCCAACAATGGCTGGACAGCAGATATGTTATTGGGAGAAGGCAATTATGCAAATAACGACAATCAAATGCAATATGATCCAGGGCTATTTGCTCAAATTCATATAGCAGGCATGAAGGCTTGGAGAAAACTTCCTACTAAAGGAGATTTAAGCACCTCCCTTACCAAAATACAACAAGGGCCTGAGGAACCTTTTTCTGAGTTTGTTCATCGGTTAATTACTGCAGCAGGGAGAATATTCGGCAATGCTGATGCAGGTATCTATTTCATTAAACAACTGGCATACGAGAACGCCAATGCTGCCTGTCAAGCAGCAATCAGGCCATATAGAAAAAAGACAGATTTGTCAGGTTATATTCGCCTATGTTCTGATATTGGGTCGGCATACCAACAGGGATTGGCTATAGTCGCTGCCCTTCAAGGGTATACTGTCCGCCAATTCCTTAACCGTAACAATAGAGGCAATTGCTTCAATTGTGGTCGGCCCGGACATATGGCAAAAAATTGTAGGATGAAAAATATTAATGGTCAGAAACAAAATCAACCTCTTGAATTGTGCAGTAAATGCCAAAGGGGACGCCACCCCACAAATGAGTGCAGATCCAAAACAGACATCCATGGCAGGCCACTCAGTCATAATCAGGGCAATGGGAACAGAGGGCCGCCCCAAGTCCCCAGACCCAAACAAGCTTTGGGGGCACTAGAGTTTGTTTCAGCAAACAACAACAACCCATTTCAGACCTCTCCAGAGCAACCCCAGGAAGCTCAGGACTGGACCTCTGTTCCACCACCCACACAGTATTTACACCGGAAATGGGAGTTCAAGCATTGCCCACCGGGGTCTTTGGGCCTCTACAGCCAAACACCTTTGCAATACTCTTGGGGCACAGTAGTGCCACTATGGAGGGACTTCAAGTCTTTCCAGGGGTAATAGATACTGATTATGAGGGAGAAATTAAGATTATGGCTTCCTCTCCAAAATTAATCACAACCGTTCCCGCTAATAAACACATAGCTCAGCTCCTGCTCCTTCCATTGCTCTCAACTCCAAACACCGTCCAAACCTCTTCACGAGGTGAAAAGGGCTTGGGCTCTTCAGATACCTATTGGGTACAACACATTTCCCCGAATAAACTAATGCTCACTCTGTGGCTGGATGGAAAACAGTTTTCTGGACTTATAGACACCGGGGCTGATGTCACAATTATTAGAAAAGAAAATTGGCCCCAGTCCTGGCCTCTTGTCCCAACCCTAACTAACTTAAAGGGTATCGGACAAAGTCAAAACCCCGAAAAGAGCTCAAAAGTACTACAATGGGAAGATAAAACAATCAAGGAGCCATCCAACCCTTTGTAGTACGAGGCCTTCCTATCAATTTGTGGGGACGAGACCTATCATCACAAATGCGCCTCTACACGTTCAGTCCGAATGAACTGCACAATAACTGCACAAATGCTGGCTCAAGGATATACACCAGGAAAAGGTTTGGGGAAAAATGAATCGGGTATTACCCAACCCCTGTGGCCCCAGCCTAAGAGTGATAGAGCCACAGTGGCCTCTTAATAAGAAAAACTTGTGGCAGCCGAGCAGTGAGTACAGGAACAGGCTCACGCATCACTTCATCAAAATAGTGCCAGTTTACGAAAACAATTGGGCATTTCTCGGGAAGCCGCTAAACAAGCAGTTAAAAGCTGTTCTACCTGCCCAGAACTCCTTCCTGTTCCTCATTATGGGTTAAACCCTCGAGGCCTTCTTCCAAATCATTTGTGGCAAGTGGATGTTACTCATTATCCTGAATTTGGTAAGTTAAAATATATTCATGTGTCAATAGATACCTTCTCTGGATTTATTTTTGCTTCAGCTCATACTGGAGAAGCTACAAAACACGTTGCGGCCCATTGCCTGGAGGCCCTCTCTGTTTGGGGATTGCCTCGCTGCATTAAAACTGATCATGGCAGTGGATATACTAGTAATGGCTTTGCCCGCTTTCTGTGCACAATTTCGTATTTCCCACAAGACTGGCATTCCTTACCTCCAAGGTCAAGGTATTGTAGAAAGAGCTCATGGTACTTTAAAAGCTGCTTTACATAAAATTCAAAAGGGGGAGTTGTATCCCCTGACGCCGCGTAATTATTTAAAACATGCCTTATTTGTACTTAATTTCTTAAATGTGGATAAACAAGGATCTCGTGCAGCTGAACGATTTTGGCATTCCAAAACACAACCTCATTATACCACAGTCATTTGGAAAGGTCCTTTAATGGAATCATGGAATGGGCCCGACCCTGTGTTGATATGGGGTCGAGGACATGTCTGTGTTTTTCTGCAAACAATGATGGCGCTCGCTGGCTTCTAGAATGCTTGGTGCGGTGTATGGACACCCCGAAAGACCAGGAGGATGCTGTGCCTATGGGTCTGCCTGAAGATGGTGACACTCGTTGAAGCAGAAATCTACTGGGCATATGGACCAACAAATTACTGTCAGTTGTTCTAATTGTACACTTCCTAGTTGTGTTAGCAATGGGACCTCTTCTGTTTTTGTAGTAGAGCAACCGTCATTTGTTATGCTTCCTGTAAATGCGTCTGAGGAGTGGTATGAGGAAAAGGGATTGCAAGTTTTGCGAGAGTTAGAACGTGCCCTAGCACGTCACAAGCAGGGGGTAGGACTCATAATAACAGGAATGATTGCAATTATATCCATTTTGGTGACTGCAGTCACCTCTGCCATAGCTTTACCACAGACAGTACAAGCAGCTGGTTTTGTAGATAATGTATCCAAAAATATTTCCATAGCTTTACATACTCAAGAAAGTATTGATGAAAAAATCCAACAAAAATTGGATGCTCTTTACGATACTGTTGTACAATCTGGGAAACCGGGTAGATGGGTTACATGTGCGTTCTTCTGTCCGATGGCATGCTTTGTATCAATGGATTTGTGTCAACCCTAAAATCTATAATGAAAGCCAACATGATTGGGAAAAGGTCAAAAAACATTTACAAGGTGTCTGGCGCGGAGCCAGTGAAACAATGGCCATTCTTACACTCTATCGAGAGATCTTAGAGATAGAGGAGGCACGTTCCTCTCCCTTTAACGCAGCACAAGAAGCAAATGAACTGCTGCAACAACTGTATGGTCTCCTACCACACTGGACCTTGTGGCAACAGTGGTTCATGCCTGCCGCTATGGCAGCAGGTCTGGGCCTTGTGTTGCTGTGTTGTGCCCCCTGCCTTGTGCGAATACTCGGGCGCTCCTTTCTTGGAGTTCACTCTGAAATCCATCGGTTAAAACTTCAAGCCAAGGCATTAGATGCAGAGGCTGGTGGTCAATGACGGGTAAGATCCTTGGGACGTTTCTCAACCTAAGACAGGGGGTGCATGCAAACATGCATTACCCGATGACGGGTAAGAGAAAATGTCACCAGGGACAACCTAAGACAGGCACAGCCTACTGCCCGTCAGAAGTGGCGGATTTTTTAATAAACAATAAAGGGGGAGATGTGGGGAGCCAAGAAGGACACATGAGGAACGTGCAGGACGTGACCGCTAGATGGAGACCAAGGTTATTGTCTGGACCTAACCTTGGGCATCTGAACTGTTATGTGCAGAATGTTCCAAGTATTGTTACAACAACCTGATAAACTCAGCAAGGACTTTGAGTCCCACGTTAAGGAAGCCAAATGTTTCTGTATAAAAGAGAGCAATAAACTTAACTCGTGGCTGACCGGTATTGACTGGCAGTCTTCCCGTTTCTATCCTATCTTCTTGTCTTTTCTTTAATCCTCACCCCCCAACTCAGGAACTGTTCACCGTCAGCGGGTCTGACACCCAGGTGCCCATTGTACCCAGGAGATCTCTGGATGCGAACCTAGAACCTTGGCATGTAGGCTCTCAGAGAGGGTCACCTTTCACCATTGTAGCATCTGGCCCTTCTAGCCTGACCTTCATATGTAGTTCACAGTTTTGTCCCCTATTTTTCCAATACTGGGTCTTTTTTTCCTTGATTGCTAGAGAGAGACAGAAAGACAGAGAGGGAGAGAGGAAAACCCGATGGGGCACAGCCACGGCCCCGTCTCCATTTCTCTGCCTGTCTAGATCGCAGGCATGTACGCGCATATACCTGGTGTCTTTTCCTTTCCCTTTTCCTTTTTTTGCCATAGGGGGCATTCACTTGCTGGAGAGAGATACAGAGAGATCGAGAAAGAGGGAAAGTAGGCGATCACTCCCTTCCCCCAGAGGGAATGGTCACACCGTGACCGCTTCTCCTCCACTCTCTTTTCGGGGTTTTGGGCACACACACATGTATCCAGCATGAGTTTCAAGCCCCCAGGTCTGAGATTTAAACCATGATCTGTCATGATTCTGTCATGGGAATCCAACTCTTAACCACCACCTGCTGGCCCTACATCTGGCATGTTTTCCAAACCACTGGGTCTGGGATTCAAACCATGCAGTCAGTTATGTGGAATCCATCGCCCTTAACCACCAGGCCATGGGACCAGCACCCCACCCCCCAGGACAACCAGAGGGCAGAGGAGAAAAGGAGCTGAGGAAGAATGCACTGGGCTTGTGGTGCACAGGACAGGTGGGTGGTGAAGAAGGGGGTCAATTGGGACTTGTAGCTGTCTGGTGTCTCAGTCCATCAAGTAGGGCCATGAGGGACAGAGACACCAAAATAGGCCTGGGGTCAGGGAGGGGCGGGGCACGGAAACATGAACGAGCCTTGGTTTGAGAATCCAAAGCAGAAATACCAAGGAGGCAACTGGCTCTGGCTTTGGGCATCGTGGGGTGGACTCTCAGGACGTGGGCATTCTTGGCGGGTGGCTGCTGAGGATGACGTCAACAGAGGAGGGAGGAGGGCCTCGGACTGGGCCCCAGGGGCCTCCACATTGAACAGAACAGAGGTGGGGGAGGATGGCCCTGTACAGAACCAAAGAAGGAGTCAGAGAGGGGCCCATAGACCCAGGAGAAATGGCTGGTGAGCACTGAGGGAAGAGCAATTCCAGGGAGGAGCCGTGCCCTGCCAGGCTGCTGCAAACTGCATTGTGGGCCAGACGTGAAAGTCGTGGTTGTGCGGTGAGCAGGCGCCGAGGCAGTGGAGACAGGAGAGAGAGAACAGCAGTAGTGAGGTGTGGGCGCCACCAAGTCCACTCCTGAGCTGATCTCTGAGATTTGTAAAGAGCTGGGGTTCAGGTTGACCCCTTCACTTTTGAGAATGACTTATGTCTATATTGGGCTCCCCCAGATCCAGGATCTGGTTGCTTCATGATAGTCGGGGAGCCCAGTGAGCACCGGATTCAAGGATGGGGCTTTGGAAACTTTCTACTCCGTCTTCTCTCTCGGTAATAGTCAGATATCTGCTACCAGCAGCCCCAAACTTTCACACTGCGGGAGGGTAAGAGGAATAAGAGACTCAGGCGAGGCCCGGCCTCTGTGGCATACTGGACTATAGAGCTGGAAGACACAAGCCAACCACAGTTAGAGTCCCCCCATCCGGTTACCCTGAAGACGTGTGGAGGGCGTTTGTGCCTGCCCAGGATCCTGGCTGGCTGGGGGATCAGAGGAAGGGGATTGGGACATGACCAAGCGGTGTGGATGGTGCTTCTCTCTTTCTCATGAGCATATGTGCCTGTGTGCTCTCTCATGAAGTAAAATAAGTAGAGCCCACTCGTACCTTACTCCCAAATCACACCATGTAGCTTAACTTCTCCGAATGCACTTTGTTTGCCCCTCTTGGCCTTGACTCATGCTGTCCCCTGTGCCCGAAACGCACTTCCTCATTCAAACCCCACCTGTCTGGTGAATGCTTCACTGGTCTCAAAAAACTGGTCACAAGAGCCTCCTCTGTGAAGCTGTTTCTGTCCTCTACCTCCCACCAGGTGGACTGACCCCTCCTGGCTGCAGTCCCCTCCAGAAGACCCTCTCATGGCGTCCACAGCACTTGACCGTGTCACTAATGGGAGCAAGGGGCTACACCCTCCGGCCTCAGCCCGTTGTCACCGGGGAACACAAGCTCTGTGTGGTCAGATCTTCTGTTTTTCCCGGGAAGTAAAAAACCTCGATTTTTAACATCAAATCTGATTTCAAAACTCAGCCAAAGTTTAAGAATTTCAAAACCACTAGGGGTCCCAAAGTCATCTTCCAGGGGACCCTCCAAGGACTGCCACTTTAAAATGTGCTGTACCCTTTCCTTAGGCAGAAACGGGTCTTACTCGCCTCACACAGACAGAGGTTTCTAAGCGTAGAGAGAGGGGACTCCTGTTTTGTGCCAGGAACTTGGAGAGGTTTTTGCTATGGGGCACGTGCGCTCGCCAGA